GTGCGTGGGGGGTTGGGGGTGGATGCCTGCCTCTAACAAGTGGGCCTCTCTTCTTGATGTTTATTATGAATACCCCATCAGAGGATGGGATTGACGGCTCCCCTCCCCCTGTTCACCTGCTCTTGAGAACTCTGGAGGGAGACAGGCCTTTGGAGGATGCTGTGTGAAGGGAGGGATAAAGAAAAGGGATGTTGCCTGTCACGCCACTTCCCTGTCCTCCTCTGGCCTTGGCAGGGTGGCTCAACCTCGCCATTTCCTCCTCTGTACAATCAGAATAATAGAGGACCTGTCTCTCTGAGTGTTGTTAGGATTGAGCCAGCCATCCCTTACAAAATGCTTAGTAATCACTCAGTAAGTACTAATGAGGATTAGTGCTCATTAATGAAGAACTTGAAAGAACAAGGTCTGCTGTCTGGGTGCCTCAGGACGATGTGGGTGGACTTCCGATGACTATTGACAAGGTCAGAGACAGTTACCTAGCAGCTGCCAGGAGAGTTCTATCAATGTTTTGTGTTGCTGAATCATAAAGTTGAATTTGTTTCCTAAGGAGGGGAAGTTTTCTTACTCCCTTAGAAGACTATTGCTAGTTTCAAGGGCACCTCACCTGCAGCCTTAAAGCGAAAGCCTTGAGAAAGACTGTATTTGCCATTGATGGGATGGGCACAGACCAAGCCAGGAATTAAGGATCACTCTTGCATTGCTAGCTTAAGAAACCAGGGGGTGGGGCACCCTGAACCTGGGCAGAGAGGGCCCCATAAAGTTCTTAGACTCTGGATGGGTGATCTTGCTGGCAGATACCCTCGTGTCCCAGTTGCTGGGCAGAAATGAATTCTGAGGAAGGGCTGTGCAGGGTTTCCATGTTGGATCTGACATCTTGTTTTAAGTGCACGCTCTCTTCCTGTCCAGCCATTCCCATCTGCTACTGTCATCTTATCATGACACATTTCCAGAACACAGAAAATTGAAAGAATTTTACAGGAAAACCATATAATGGGAGCTGGGCATGGTGGTACAGGCCTGTGATCCCGAAGCTGAGGATCAGAGGCTGAGGCAGGCAGAGTGCAAGTGTGAGGCATCCTGGGCTACAGAATGAGATGTTGTCTCAAAACAAACCAACAACTAAACCATATAACGGGAAAGGAGAGTTCCCAAGTGATTTATACAGGTTCTCTCCTCTCCTAAGTCTCTGCTCTAGTACGGGCTGCCCAAGGTCTTCCTTCCTAAAGTTAAGGAGAAAAAGTGAAAGTGCAGTTTGGGAAGAGAAACCTAACAAATGACACCTCGGCCAGTGATCAAGGACAGCATCAGAAGTCATGCTGTGCGTGGCCTTTCCACACCCGCATAGCCTCATTCTCATGAGACAGGATAACACGGGAACACACAGACCCCCAGGGCCTCCAGGTCTTTCGGAGTCAACTGCTGAGTTGAGTTGCCCAGACATGACTGCATCGCTCCAGCTCAGCTGTTACTAAAACCAAGGAGCTATACCGCCCCCCAGTGGGCTTGAATCATGAAAGCCGCTCAGCCCCTGCATCAGAGGTACATGCGTGGCTCCTGTTTCCATCATCCCCACCTGGATTCTGAAAAATTACCTGAACACTTCCTTTCAATCTGATTCCCAATTGTACATTTGGTAGGGCTATCTTATGCCTTTCAGAAATGCAGCTTTGGGAAGGGGCAGAGTGTAGGAGGACGGAGGAGTTTTCCAGCTTGGCTAGCATTATCTGATGAGCAGGAAGGACAATTTGGGAGCTGAGGATGTGCCCTGTGCAGCTGCTTTTTAAAGGGAAGAATCTTGATGGCTGAGCTGCATGGGTCCTGAGGCAAGGGTCTTAGGGAAACTCTAGGGGCCTGTGGCCTTGGTCAAGAGCAGCCTTGCTGCCTGTGTTTGGCTGCTACGCTTTAACGCACATGCATGGCCGGTCTCCCCTAAGCACTGCTGTGAGGAGGCGGCTAGGACAGGCAGCATGACTGCACTGTCCCTGGTTACCTAAGAGGGAGGTCTCTCACCTGGTCAACTTTAGGTCCAGGCTTCAAGGCCTAGTGCAACAAACTGAGCTGGTTTTAAGCTTAGACATTACCAGAAGCCAGCCCTGGGACAAGTCTACCTATGATGCATTAAAATCTATTTGGGACAAACACTGGGTTATTGTGAACCAGAGCTGACTAACATGGTGGGTGTTAAGAACTCAGCCCTACTGCCAACTCTAGAAGGCAGGTGAAAGAACACTGTCTTGTCTTTACCCAGCAGCTGTATTAACTGAGGGCAGCTGCTGGGGAGAATCACACCAGCACCTGGGTCCAGAAGAGGGCGCTGAGGCAGCCACAGGTGTTCACAGTAGATGACAAACAGTGCAGGGCACACTGGTCCTGTACTTGAGTTATAGGTTAGTACCCAACCCTACCTGTCAGTGTCAACTCCAAGGGGCCCAGGACCACACATACTAGACTACGCAAGGGAACCATCTGAGTTATGGGTAAGGGACCTAATGGTCCCTTTTCCTCCACACAAATGAGCACTCTAAGAAGAGGCAACGCACAGGTGTCATGGGGCAGAGGTGAACGTGTGGAGAGCACGTCTAGGGAGATGCCTTTGTTTCTCAGGACCAGGTAGGTTCAGGTTGAAGGGTACACATAGTCAAGCTCCAGCCTACTGGAGGGAGGGAGCCAGGTAAGGAATGGCATCTGGAAACTTCCCCTGGTCTGCCGATTCTGAAAGTGCAGTCCACCTCTGCATCTCAACTGAATGGAAGCCCCAGCTACTGGAAAATAGGGCCAGCCTATGTCATCTCCAAGGTCCACTAAGGTCAAGATTTAAATGGTAAGAATTTATTACACAAGAGCAGCTTGAGGTTTTTGAATAAAAGTGTATGTGTAT